GGGGGGTTGGGGCAGGAGGGGGCGCCGGCAGCAGCAGCAGCAGCGGCAGCGCCGACGCACTGTGAAGGACACCGGGAGAGAGCGGCACCTCTCCGGCTCGAGCCCCCTTCCACCTCCCCGGGCCCCCCCTCCCTTCCCCGCCTCTAAGCGCGCGCAGCCATGGAGGACAAAGCCAACTCGTTCTCCGGCGCCAAGGAGGAGAAGGCGGACGGGAATAACGCCTTCCAGCGGCAGGACTCCATCCAGAAGAACAACAGCGCGGGCGGCCAGAACACCAAGGAGCACGGCAACTCGGTGGGCTTCAAGGGGGAGCGCGACGAGGCCATGGTGGGCTTCGACGACCTGGAGGCGGCGTCCAGGCAACACGGGTTCATGCAGAGGCAATTCGGGGCCATGATGCAGCCCGGAGTCAATAAGTTCTCCCTGCGGATGTTCGGCAGCCAGAAAGCGGTGGAGAAGGAGCAGGAGCGGGTGCAGACGGCCGGCTACTGGATCATTCACCCGTATAGCGATTTTAGGTAAAACACCTGAACGCACCCCCTCTCCCCTCCTCCCCTCCTCCCGGCTCCGGTCACCCGTAGGTCTGAGAGCTTTCGCGCACACCTTGCACCCAAGCGCGCGTCTCATTGCGGCATTTTGCTGCATCGCACGAACGTCCTTGGACGCAAGGCAAACACGCTCGAGCTCTCGCGCTGGCTGCGCGCGCGTCTCGTCTTTTTTTTTTTTCCCCCCCTCACAAATTGCAGCTCGTGCAGGCGCCCCTCTACCTGCCAATGCAGCATCACCAGCATAGTGGCTTGTAAACATTACTCTGCTGCAAGGGGGGGGGGGGGCGGACCAAGGAGATGGGGGGGGTCCTCTTTTAGTTTGAGCATTCCCGTGTGATGTCATGTTGATGGTGGGCAAGCAGTGGGGTGAGGGCTAGAATGGATATACATTTTGACCACAATAGATTATTCGTTGGCACTTCCACCAGGTTGAGAATCTCCGAGTTAGCATGTTTTTCGCCGGCCTTTTTCTCATCATTCACCAACATGCGTTGAGGTTCATCAAATACTCTAAATTAGGGCATGCAAGCAGTCGAGTGGCGACAAGTCCACAGTGCGCCCGGACTCTCTCTCTCTCAGCTTCAAGCTCGCTGGTGATCACGGTCGCGCAAAGGGGGGTGGGGGGGGGCGGCCGATCCGCAGGCCCACCCCGTCAACTCACGTGCATATCGCCCATAAAAATACTACTAGTCCACACTCTGCCTTTGGCTGTAAATGATTAATCGATTCTTAAATTAGTCGATGAATGTGATATTCGATTACAACTCAATGAATTGATCTCTTTTGACACTTTGTATACGGTGTATAATTTTGTCAAACCAGAAATGGCTCTCGCTCCCCTGCTGTAATGTGATGGAAATTGGTGTCGCGGTGGGATGAATGAAGCCCCGGTGCGCCGACTGCCTCATTTAATTCCACCAGTGAAATCAGGTGCAGGTTGGCCACCGTCTCATGGTCCACTTCACCAATTAATGCATCTCGCTCATCCGGGCCCTCATCCTGCGTGCCATCAGCCGTGCGGC